CCTCTTAATATAATTCAAAATATGTGGTACCAGCACGATGGTGCCCCACCTCATCGCGGAATAGTAGGTATCGAGTGGTTAAACCAATATTTTCCAAACAAGTGGATTGGTAATAATAGTCCATCTACTTGGGCACCTAGATCCCCCGACCTTAATCCATTAGATTTCTACTTATGGGGTCAAATGAAACAAATCGTGTATCAAGTGGAAATTAACACACAAGAACAGTTATTAAACAGAATACATAGGACATATTAACATTTTTTTTGGACAAAGTTTGATGGTGAGCTAATAAATCTCCCTGTATATATGTATATCTTGGGTAATACAAAAGTTAGATAAGAACTAAATAAGTCGATTTTGTACCCATTTAATGCTTTTGATAATACATTGCAACCTTACACCGCGACACTTAGGATCTATTGTACGCAGATAGATAACGTTATCAAATTTCACCATGCAGTCCAATGCTCTTAATCAACATCTTAACAACTTGCTCGGTAAAAAGTCATTCAGATCCTGTGTGGAGATAATCTGCGACCCAAAAATCGAGAATATGATACGATTAACAGCAGGGCAGTGGCTGCTAAGTCACATAAAACATGCTCAACCGTCTCCTCGTCCTCCGCACATAGTCGGCATTCAATATCGTCGGCTAGACCCAACAAGTTAAGGTGTGTCTTTAATCGGCAGTGCAAAGTAACGCATTAGAACTTTAATGCTGCTACGAGCAAGTCCTAAAATATTCCCGGGTTTGATAGAGGTGATGTTAATAACCAACTTAGCATGTCTCATTCTAGGAGAACTGGTCCACAGTAGGCAAACTCTCTCTTCAGCCCAATCCTATGTTTCGCCATCGCTAATGATACACCAACTGCTGGCTCTGGCCCCACAAACGCTTTAGCGCTGCCCTCTCGTGTTAGCTCATCTGCCGGTTTTTAGCACTCATGTCAATAGAAAATACTTTCGCCTGGAATACAATACAGTACGTACCCAGGCTGTAAGCTTGCTTAATCCGAGGTGTCTGGCAGTATACTCAGGCCCCGACCCCTTCTGGCGTTTTTGCTCCATCTGTGAACAAATCTAATAACCAGAGAATTTTCGTTTTCGATCCAGTACTGCCGTTCAGGCAGTACAATCTGGTATCGAGCATTAATCACTGATAATGATCCCGCCAACTCTGACGGCATTGACAGAACAATATCACTGCTTATAATGTCTTGCGCACTTTCTCTATATGCAAATGCAAAAGAGATAGGCCAAGCAGAACATCCATTGCTAGAGTTGGCGTTGTGCTTATCGCACGAGAGATTTCTAATCCAGCTACTCGTTGAATTCATAAATGTTTACTGATCTACCACAGTCACATAGTAGTCAGTACATTCTTTCTGGGGCAAGACTCCAACTTTTTCCACAAAGGCTACGACAAATCCATAAGGATATTCTAGCTTTGTGTAAAATTCCCTGCAAACGTTCATTCCATGAGTGGGTTTTGTCTAGCATTACTCCTAGATATTTGACTTCCTTTCAGAAAAGAATTTCTTCACCTTGGGTAGTTGGGCGGATTAGTCTATTCAATTTTCATCACAATAAGCGGTGTGAAGCAATAGAAATTGTGTTAGTTGCAGAAGTAGGTTTAAGATTAGCTGGGAAATGAAATGAGCAAAACCCATTGTTTTCCCAGAATGAAATTAAATTACATAGATGAAATGTAAAAATGTTTACCCATGCAAGCCCATTTACTTGCAAAGCCATGTTTGTTATTCGGTGTGATATAATAGTGGGTGTGACTTCACTGAGGCGTTGGATTTTTTCAAATGATTTAAGAAGACGATTCAGTGACCCAAGTGTGATCATCACTACAGAAGGCGTATGTTCAATGCATAAAACCAGACCTTCACTATTATTAGGAACCAACCAACAGCGACCTCGGTAATCAGCGGTATTCTCCTTTTGTTAAGGAGAAATGACATTCAAGTGATTCAATAAGTAGAGTTGCCTACTTGGAACGATCAGGGCAGACATCGAACTATAAGAGGATGTTAATGTTACACGAAATTTCTCAACACTTTCGTTATTATCACATCATTTGTTATATGTCTTATTAAAGATGAAGTTTACAGGTACAAATTAATGTATAAATCGTTTCTTCAATTTCATAAATACGGCCAGGTCGATTTTTTAAAGTTTGGGTTAGATTGGTGACTGATTTTGTAATTTTTAGAATTAAATTAAAATGCAAAAATTAACAAAGTTATTTTTCTCAAAGCTTTCTTTATTACCACACCACGTGTTATATCTCATTTCGAGAATTCAGATTTCAGGTTTAAAATCAAGTATAGGTCATTTCTTTAAGTTGCATAATAAAGTCAGAACTATATTTCTTAATGATTGAGTTAGTTATGCTAAAAGTTAGAGAATTTGAACACTTGGTTTTTCACTTTTCTTATTATTTATCATTTTTTATGTAACAGTGTGTTAATTAATTATCGTACCCGACATCATCATTGCAAGTATGCAATCATGCAGGCATGTATTGGTATTGCAATACGAATACTGTGATATTGGTTGCATACTTGCAATGATGAGGATTTCACCTTAAAATTGGTGTGGTCGACATGAGTTCACATTTCAAAAATGACAAACTTGTTAGTTTTATTGCCAAATACTTTTAGTTTCATTTTGCAAAACGTTGTAGCATCCATAGTTGACATTACTCTTAGTTTCAAACTCTATGTTGCGTAATCCGGTCCATTGTAGAACATTTCTAAACAAGGAAATCTCCTCTTCGCCCATCTAATTTTCCCTTTTTAATTGTGATAAATAGCTCGCAGTCTTTGTTTACTCGAGTGAGTACATCTTCATTTGTTACCCTTGCAGTGCAAAGGGTTTTCAATACTCTGCAGTATGTCCACATCTCGTATGCATCAAGCTTATTTATTGCATTTGGTTTCAAGGTCAACTCTATACTGAAGCACCGATCATACGTAACAGTTCACGAACCTCAATATCAAGTTTAGAGCGAAGTAATTTTTGAAATGCCTGTCTAGCTTATTCTATGCGACTTTTAATTTCATTGTCTAATGTCCAGTTTTTAGACAGCCATGTCCCCAGGTATTTGAATTTGTTTACTCTTACTATTCGTGTGTCATTGACTGTCAGTTCGGCATCTTCGAATACGCTCAGCTTTCTTGTTATTATCATGAATTTGGTCTTCTTGACGTTTATACTTGTGCCCATTGATCTGCTAGTTTCTCCGACTACATTGACCAACAGTTGTCAGCAATCAAAAACGTGTCATGGACGTATTGGATATTGCTAATCCAAACCCTATTAACTTTAATACTTTTCTCTTTAACATTTCATTTTAGTATTTTTTTCTTTTTGCAGATAATCCTTCTTTTCTTAAAATTATAAGCCTTTTCCAGTCTCTCTACTTTCTGTCCATTGTCAGTCCTTCAGTCTTTGTTCTATCTCTTTCCACTCTACCTCCTCTCCTTCCCATAATTTTTTCTCTTTTCAGTATCTGATTGGTCTCTGTTTACAATTATCAGCCACCTTCCGGTGTTCTTATTTCCTCACTAGTACTTTCCTTACTTTTGTTGTCTCTTTTCAAATCGCCTCTTTTCTACCAATTTTTTTCTTCTCCTTTTTAAACATAAGTCTATGTCTTTTTTCTGTTACCAATCTCCGTTTTCGCCTTCTGTGCCATCCTTCCTTTCTGCGCCAGTCGGTTTTTTCTCCTTTTAGTTCCTATTCAGGCACTCTCTCTATCCAGTTGCTGGTTAGTATCATTCATGCCATTATTCCTTATTTCCAGTGTCTTTTCTATCTTTCTTTACGGACACCAAGCTTTATTGTAATGATGTTTTGCTTGAGAATAACAGTTGACTGAGAACTACTGACAAGTTCGCTTCTATATTGCACAACTGTATTTATGATGTAAGTACGGAAAGTAAAGAGATTTCTTCACTCATATATTTGTTAGTAGAATAATATAGTCATCTGCGTATATCTGCTTTAAATCGCCCCACGGAAGTCAGACATTTTCCAAGCATATAATGCATAGTGTATAAGTGTGTATAGAAGAGAAATAAATGGGATGTATTTCCATCTCTACAAGAATATCAATTCAATCACGATGGAGTAGTTAGCGTTACAACATTTGTTCGCTTACGATGTTCGCTTTGTTTCAAGTCAGAACATTACACTTCAAAGACACCATAAAGCATCGCAAAAGTGAATAAGCCATTAAGTTATAACTCGACACTGTCTCATACCACCATATTAAAAACATCTTTATCAAACACATTTAATACCTATCATATCTCATTTTCTTTGATGGCCTTGGACGCACTCATCACACTCAAAGTCACACATTTGTGCAGATTAAAATTAAAGTAGAGCGACTTTTATGGTCATCAAAAACATAGTCCCTCTGATCATATTTATGTATATCGCTACATACTCTGTGCATGTTCAATAGAATTTCTATACAAATTTTACTTGCATACTAGTTGAATGAGGAGCATTAATTACTAACGCCTTATTAAGCATCTTAGTATTTATACATAAACTGTTGTTTTAAGAAGTGTTACTAGTATGCATAATAAAAAATATTTTATTTTCTTGTCACGAACATGATTGGTAAAAAGATATACGAAAATCATCATGTTTCGTTTCAACGTGGATAAAATAAATTATCACATCCAATTACACCAACCATTCTCGATTACACAACCAATTACTAAAATGAAAACAAAATTAAAAAAATCCTTGCAAGTTATGTTTCGTAATCGCCACGTAATTTTTTATCCCAAATTTATTACGCGACATATTTTGCGAATACGCCTTTCATTCTCGCAGTTGAACATAAGCCAAGAAGGAAGCAACGACTTCCACCAAATTACTATACTGAGGTTATAGTTAAAACTTTTACGATTGGAAAATTTACGAGTTTTGATCCGGTCTGCATCTCTCAATTGGGAAAGAGTACTTACCTAGTTTGAGATACCGCATAGAAACATGGATCAGATATGTGTTAGTCTGTAAAAAGAGAAACGTTTATTAATATTTGTGTCATAGAAAACCGCGTATTTCCGTTTAAAAACCGACTGCGGTGAAAATAAATTTTGATAAATAAAATATAATAGTACATTTTTTGTGTGGAATAAAAGTAACTCTTAAGGAAATAAATGACGAGATGTCTGTATGACTGACAGTTCAATAGGGGGACAAACAAGATCCTAATGAAGGAGACCCGAAAAACTAAGTACGTGTAAGTCTTTTGTGTAGGGGAAAAACTCAAACAAAAGGTTTCCTTCTTCTACTTGAAACAAAAAAGAGTGATGGTGCTAAATGGGTAATCCATCCGGTCAAAAACCTTAATGGTATAATTTGTAATCGATCCTTCTTACGTCATAGCAACTTATTAATTACTCCTACGATTAAAAGAGAAAATAATAAACCATATTATGTCGTTCGAACACATCTAATTAGTTCACGCCTTCCGGTACATTTGCTTAACAAATGAGCCGATCTAGGTGCTTCTCCATTTCGTATTGCGGACGTACTTACTCCAGATATGGAACGAGAGAACCGAGCAGCTGTCTGGTTTACATTAGTAAACAGACGTTGTATTTATAGACGTCGGTTTACCATCTATCTCTCACTCTCGCTACATACCGACAACTTTTTAACATTTCAATTTTAAATGTAACTCGTGTTTGTAGAAAAAAAATAAACAGCTCGTGATAAAATTATGTTTAATATTTGTACGAGTAACCTTGATTTAAGCGACATTTTAAATTTATAAGGTTTACAGAAAGGAAACAGTGATGAAACTGTTTATTCTTTGAACAAACACTAAATTAGTAATGATTCAACGGAAATATATACCATATTTGGAATTGTATTTTGATAAATATGGGAAATATTGATATCATTCATGTTATTGTGTATTGATTATTTTGTAGAACTAGAACATTTTTAATTTTTAATCATAATAATTTATATTTGTTGTTATTTGTATATTAAGATCGTTTAAGGTCGAATACAACGTATTGAAACTATCAAATATGAGAGTAATTTGGAACCAAAACGCCCAAAACGAGATACTTGAAACCTTTGTATGGGATATAATTATGGGACTAATCCAAGAGAATATTAAATAAATTAGCTATCAGGTAATTGCAACAACATACCTATTAATCGAGTTATTTTCAACCACGTTGGATCAAAATAACTATGATATTAACACTAATTGAGTTGTATGTTGCAACCATAAATTAGTGCCCAAACGTTTACCGCCATACAAATCTTGGCACCCATATCAAAGGCGAATACTTCCAGTTCTAGAGCACTCTTTTCCAGTTTGCAGCTCCTAACATGATCCTCCCATCGTGTTCTGAGTTCTGACTGTGTAGTGTCTTCTTTGATACTCTTTCGCCCGGCATCCTCTGGACATGCCCTGTACTGATTTAATTATGGGCAATGTGGCGTAATATGCCTTTATGTTAGATCCAAGATATGTGATTCTTGTACCACTTCAAAGTTGTATTCGGCCATTGTGCTGGTTCGTTCTATTCGATTTCATGGTTGTCTGTTCTATACTAGGAGTTTGATTTTTTTCTCATTGACTTTCAGGCCTATTCTCTTAACTGCACTCTCAAATTTCCTAAAGGACTCATCTATATCTGCCACCTTTCTTATTAGTATGTTGATATCGTTTGTGTACCTTATGAATTGTTTTGAGAAGATTAATAACATCTATCATGTGTCCTATACCTGCCTATCTCCCTGTTTTAAGCCTTGTGTGACTTCAAATTTTTTTATTGTCTTTCGATCTGTTAGTATATCAATAAATATTCATCAATTCAAAGGTGGTTTTGCCATATAAATACTGATTGTCTGCTTGTCGTGAAGCCGAACTTTAAAAGAGAGTGTACTCAAAAAGTGACCGTTTGTTTTGTATGTAGTTTATTGTAACCAATATCCATTCATATCAATCAAACCCACACAGAACGCCAAATACAAACATTCATTGCAACGCACCAATCTAAACCGAATAACTGCTATATGAGTTCAGTTTCAACTAACTAACTAGGCCGCTTCGCCAGGAAGAACCATCAATAGTTAATAATCGGCAAACTTCACACCAACTGGGAAGCCAATGATTACAGCAGCCCCTCAAATGGTGCCTAATACAAAGGACGGCTTCCTCATCGCCCCGGAATTATTGTTCCGCAAACACTCCGTAAATATGTTTATTTTTCTAAATAATACATTTGTACATACGGAGAAAGATAATCTATTGCGCGGATATGCCAATATATGGCAACCGCTTCTACTACCGCTTCATAGTAAGTTGGTTAAAAATATGTTATAGATAGAGCATCTTCAACCATATCTCGACAACTTAATACCAAACTGGCTTTTTTTTTTGTTCAGTAACCAAAATTGAACTAACAAGAACTATTGAACAAATACATAAAATAATAGAAGAAAAAGATATTGCTTTCCTAGATATCTCGTCGGATTTTGGTTTGTATTAAAGAAGAATCTGGTGGATATCCCAAAAATTCCTTATTAAATGTGTTTGCTTAATAAAATCAAAAAGGCAGACGTTACTTGCTTCTATTACGGCTTCTTAAAAAATATGCGGTCAAGCAACTTCAACTATATTTCGGCTACTTAATATCAACCTACCTATTTGGTTTCAGAGATCAACATTTGGCATGCAAGAGGTTTTTGGTAGTATGGCAAAATAATTTATTCGTGAAAGTAAAAAAACCAATTAGTTCTATGTAGCACTTATACCGTTCAGCACTTTTATCGCTAACAAGGTGGGTTCAAAAGTCCTCTTCTGTTTTTCTTTCTTTAAGTCCCTCTCTCCAACTTATCCTCAGTCTTCCTCTTCTTTTTGTGTGTGTTTCTTGCATAATCTTGCGGATTATGTCGTTGCCTTCAAAATATTTTTCAGTAATTTCTATTAATGCTATCGTATTATAGATTTATTGCTTATTCTTGTTCGATATACCTTTATGCCACAATATGCCATTAATTCATTATTTCAGCTATTGTTCTTCTGCCATGTATGTTTCTATCCTTTACGGTGCACTCTAGTATTTCATAACAGGTGATTTGTACTCCCAAATATTTATACTTGGTGGTATATTTTTAGTAAGTTTTTTTATATTAACTCTATGAGCTTCCTCGACATGTATTCCATATCATTCTGGTCCTGTGCGATTACTATTTAAATACTTCTGCAATTTCTTTTCCAAGGTTCCAAGGACTCCTGCTTGGGTCCTTTAGTTATGTGGAAGCCATTCGACGCTTTCAGTTCTATCTTGATTTTAGCTATTGCTTGTTGATATAAATTTCTTAATGCCTATTCTTATTTTGTGATGATACGTTCTTTTAGGTCTATAAACATTAGGTAGGTTCCTTGATAATACTTCGTGTTTCTTTTCCATTAACTAATTGTTGATCTTCCCGGTGGAATCCTGCCTGCTCCTGCTTCCATATCTCTGTTTTCTAGGTGTATTTTGTTGGCCAAGATTTTACCATATACAGTAAACCCTCGATATAGCGAACACGCAGGGAGGAAAGCAAACCGTTCGTTATAATGAGATGTTCGTATTTGCGATATAACGAACTAATTCGTTATAATGAATGATAATGGGTAGGCTCTAGAGGTAGACTTACATAAACATATTAGCATCGACTGTGTAATAACTTGTAATAAGTTTAATATAAAAGTACGTTATATCATAATAAGCATTTTTTGAAAATAATCACTTATTTTTGCCACAGAATGGGCATTGTTTGTCTTAGGCATTCCTCGGTAATTTTATTCGAAGAATCCATGAAATTTTCAGAAACTTTCTCTTCTGAATCAGCAAATCTTGAAATTGTGATGTTAATAACTACATCGTTGGATAAGTAATAATATTTGTGTTACGTTTGGATTGTATACAGAGCGGCTAAAACTTCTGCTCTTAAAGGTGCAATTATATTAACTTCTTCTTCATCGTGCTCTTCGCCTTCTTCTTATTCCTTGGTTTCTTGTTCTATATTCACTGCTGCTAAGTCTATGTCTACTGCTTTTGTAGTCGTTATCGCACCATCAACTTTGACGTAATCAATAAAACTAACCTGTATCAGTTGAACTGACAAGATTTGTTGATAATTTTCCCATTCTACATCAGCAAATTCAGGCTATCAATGAGTAAAGCATACAAGTAAAAAGCTACTGACGAGCTACATCACGAATCAACGCCCTTATCGCTTGTAAAATATTCTATTTTTGATTTTCTTGGTTCGATTCTATTGCCAAAATTGCTGCTCTAACAAGTCGTGCACGATATCGTTTCGTCATAGCCGCAATTATGCCTTGATCAAGAGGTTGCAGTGCACTTCTTGAGTTAGCCGGAAAATAAACGACCTTAAAATTGCGCAAATCAATTTCCATAACGTTATGTGCTGGACAATTGTCCATTGTTAACAACACTTTTCTGTTTAGAGCTGCTATGTTGTATTGAAAACGAAGAAGCCATTCTCGAAATGCTACAGAAGTTACCCAGGCATTTTTCTGAGGGGTATAATGGCATGGTAAATGGGAACGATCGAATTTATTTAAACATCTTGAGTTTTTTGATTTTGCTACTATCCATAGTTTTAATTTTTACTTCCGTCAGCATTGCAGCATAAAACTGCTGTTATTCTTTGTTTGATTTTAGTGCCCCATAACATTTTTTAAATTTAAAATCCAAAGTACTGTTTGGCATTAGATTAAAAAAAATACCAGTCTCATCATAACGACAATTTCGTTACATCGGTGTTCGCTATATAGAGGGTTACTGTATGTACTTCATATAGCGTACCTGTTACTGCTATATCTCTGTAATAGTCGCAGGTTTGTTTGTCTCCTTTTTTATGTATGATGCACATAAAGGCTGCATTCCATTCTTCTGGAATTGGTTTATCGTTAAAGCAGTTCCGGAATGGTGTCTCAACTTTTCGCATTTTTCAGGAATTTACAT